CATTCTGAAGAATTCAGTATCTATCCATCATTTAGCTAGCTAGTTACATACACACATTTTATATAGTGCATACTTTTGAGTTTTTACACAATGCTATAATTTTATATTTATCTGCAAATAGATATTTTAGTTATCTATTTTAAGTTATGTTAAGATAATTTAGTTGTGCTGTTTTAAAAATTACCTATGCTGGGCCAGCCTCATGGCTCACTCGGGGGAGTGCGGAGCTGGTAGCATCGAGGCTGCAGGTTCGGATCCTATATACGGATGGCCGGTGCACTCACTGGCTGAGCGTGGTGCGGACCACACCATGCCAAGGGTGGCGATCCCCTTACTGGTCAAAAAAAAAAAAAAAATTACCTATGCTAATATACGTACACCTACTTCATTAATTTAGATGCCATTGCCAAGGGTGGCGATCCCCTTACTGGTCAAAAAAAAAAAAAATTACCTATGCTAATATACGTACACCTATTTCATTAATTTAGATGCCATATGACTCTAACTCCTTTTCCTGGCATTTTCAATTCTTTTGTAAATCTCCAAATTACTAGCTTGGATCCAAAAATTACTATGAGAAAACATACTGAAATACACTTTTTTTTTTTTTGTATACAAATAATGCCTGTGCACATGTGCTAGAGTTTATAGCACGGTTTAACTGGATATTACCAAATTTCTTTCCAAAGTGATTGTACTAATTTATACTTCCACTAGTATTGCATGAAAGTTTCCATTTCCCTATATAAGTATAAAATTGTAAATACTAAAAATTACTTTTTTTCAATTACTGCTGTTTTATAGACATTCATTTGATTTAATTATGATGTCATTAATGGCATATACATCTGAAATTATTTTTATAGGTTATTGTTTTATTTTTATCAGGGAATATATTTGTTGCTGTAGTCATTTGAAATTATTTGTCCTCTTTGATAATAAATAGCTGTATATTGTACATGTAGCTTCCAACTTATCAAAAGCTAAAAATAGTCTGTATTTTTTTGATGCTAACTCATATGTGAACTTTGTTTTTCTCTTTCATATAGGTTCTTCTGGGCAAAGTCCTCTGTTAGTAGTCTTAAGTGGAAACCACACTGAACAATCCAATTTTACAAGCAAGAGTAATCAGTTATATCTCCGCTGGTCTACTGATCATGCAACCAGTAAAAAAGGATTCAAGATTCGTTATACAGGTTAGTAAATGACATTTAGATTGATATGAAAGTGTATTAAATACAAATGATCTCCATAAAATAAAACAATATTAAATAGATATCTAAAATATAAACCTGATTTCTGAAGATTAATAATTACCTGCAAAAGAAATAGTATGATGAGAAATTACTGAGAGATATCTGTAAATCACATTAAGAAATTTGATGATTAATTTTTAAAAATATTTGTTGTTAAGATTATAAACCATTGAATTATATAACATAGATAGCAAAAACATTCCCCCAAAATAATATAATCAAAATTAACTTTAAAATAAGTTTAAAGATTAAGGAAACAAACAGAAAGAAATAATTATATTTCTATTAATTGTACATGATAATACTCTGTTACTATTAATAGTATGTCTTTTTGTCTATCTATCTGTATGTCTCTATCTTTATATATGCATACATACCATATATGCATAAGTATATATGCACATATAAACATGTACATAATAAGTATATGTTTAATATATTTTCTTATTCAAATTTAAATTATTTTATCCTTTTTCTCTCATATACTTTAATCGTTCTTTGCCAGTAGTTATTTATATTAATTAGTTAATTAACAAATTAATCAAATAAGTCAATATATTTGTTATGATATATTAACTCCTGTGTACATTTGTCAATATGATCTGACCCACATCACTGTTTTTACTACCCTACAAAAGCAGTAGGTGTACTATTTTAATTTATGAGGACATTTTAATTACCAAGCAAAAAATCTAACTTTCTCAGTATCTCACTCTACAATATCCATGATGACATTTGTGATCTTTTCTCTTAAGAGAGATGTTCATTGCGTACATTAAGTGGACAGTGCATCTTACCAGAGGGTTATTTATTTTTATGTTAGTGTTTTACATCTTCAGGGATGAGGAACTTCCTGAGGGAAGAGCAGGAAAAAGCTCTGGTAGATTTAAGACTAAACTTTTAGCTCTCTCTGGTTGATAGACATCATAAAATGGTAAAAAGCATCAAGGTTTTGAAAAGCATTTGATGTGAGGACAGCGGGCATGAAGTTCAGGCATTCTTCCTCTGGAAAGTTTAGTAAAATACAGCCAGGTGTTTGTTCCGAAGAGCATTAGAGCGATGATTGGGCTTGTGCTCATCAAATTCTTTGTTTCGAAAAATAAATCAATAATCAGACTTTTGTAATTATTTAATTTTATTTCCAATGTGCAAAACTGGTCAGCGGAGGAAAAATTATGGCAAACATAATTTGTCTTGTTTTATCTGCCACAAATTACTTAGTAGCTTGGTGAGATGATTAAACCTTGAAATCTGAAAACAAGGACCTCTGTGTCTTTCAAAGGATATTTTCATTCAATGTGCAACAAGATCCTCTCTGTTAAACTGATGGGGAAGAAAATAAAATTTTGTTTCATCAGTGAATATTTATGATATATTCATATGTGTTATATATGGATATATGTAAAATCTGTGATATATATGTGCACTTCAAAAAGTATATGGAAAAAATAGAATTAAAAGATAATATGAATCTTTTCACAAACTTTGTGAAGTACCCTTGTATATGTATGTGTGTATGTGTGTGTGTATGAACAGATTTTCACTTAAAATTCAGTGATTCAGCAATCTCGGCTAGGAATTCATCACCAGTAATTTTTTAGCAGTAGTTAAATGAAAGTGTCCCTGAAATATCAAGATGTGAGAAGGAAGGTCTAGCTCATAACATGGCCACATGGCCACATCTTGCATCCCAACCTTTGTTTACCTTACACACGTGAACTATTGATTGTTCAGATATAAGAGCAACATAATTTATCACCATAATTGTAAATCAAGGGAAGACAAAGCAAGTGCCTCTGTAATGGTGGTTCCAGACAATTCAGTAAATTGTGTTGTGTGGATGCTGAGCTAAAAATGTCCCTGTCTTACTAAATGAAGCATATGCCAGCTACAGGATTGAGAGAGTCAAAAATACATACTGGGCTGCATACATCCAGAAAATCCGGGATATATAACTCTCCCAGTCTTCTCCCACTCTGGATGCCTACTTGATTGTGTCTGTTCTATGTCCCACTTTTCAAAGTCTCTGCCAGCAGAGATTAAGGGTTGGGCATATGTCTTCTTGACTCTTCTCACTATAGCCAGGAATGGAGCAGGCAGGGCCCATGCGTTCTAATCTTCTGCGTTACTCTTCAGTGCCATGTTTTCTCCTGCAAGCCACCTCCCAGTCTTATTTTAGGTGACAGGAAGGAAAAGGCACCTTGATAGCCCAGAGATAGAAGAAACATAGTAAAAGATCAGAAAGCGTAGAATTAGACCATCATCCTGCAGATTATATCCGTTAACGGACTGAGCTATATCATAAACCACAGGTGACACCGCAGAATATCACGGACTCCCTTCTCCTTTCTGCGTGTTTCTGGCCTTCTTTATCTTATCTCTAACTTTGGAAAAGGGTCTATAGTCTGATTGCAGTCACTATTTTTCATTTCTATTTTTTTACTAGCACAATGATTCTAGGTAGTTAGTAGTCAGGGTGCCTTATCATGCTCATATTTTTTTAAACTGAGTATTTGGTTCATTCAAAACTTACAAGAATTTAGTCTAGCACAACTGGAGGTAGAACAATGGCATGGTTAATGGAACAGTGAATCAAGAGGTTTTTATAGCAGTTAGTGGATTTTCACTTAATAAGAATCAGCTCATTAAAAAAGTGAAATGGTACTTCAGAGGCTCATGCTGCTGAGAATAGCCTCTGAGCTGCTTCTCATAGGAACATGGTTGACAACTGAGGCCAGACATAGACATCGCTTCTGGGCAACGCTATGATAAGAAACCTTCAGAAAGTTTCTTCTGAACTTATTTCTAAGGAGCGGTGCAATATTAAGCATTCAGACCTGCACATGTGTGCTGGGTGTATGAAAGCCCCACAGGGAAGTGGAACATTGAAAAGCTCTTCTTTCAAAAGAAACCAAGAGTTTCTAGTACACAGCAACTTTCTCTTTCTTTGTTTTATTGTTTCATTCAATTGAAGTGAGTTCATAGGATTTTATGCTGTAATGAACTGGCCTTGTAAGAATAAAATATGTTTCTTTGTATAAATGTGTAAATAAGAGGGAGAGTCTTTTAGTCATCAAAATGTTACATTCTGTGTGGGCAAGACTGTTATTTTAGCAAATGCCTATCTCTAATTTTTAAGTCGTCTTACAAAAGGGATGATTAAAGCTATTGTAAGATTTTTATTGACCCGAAATAATACATATTCTTTAAAGATTTTATTCAAACGTATATGTTAAAAAAGCAGTTTAATGAAGTTTAATGTTTATGTCATTGTATAGTTCACAAGGCCAATTTAACAGACAACAAAGGAAAAAGTTCATGTCCTTGATTGTGAAATATCGTATTCTTCTATTTTCTCCATTTTAATGATACTTTTTTTTATGGTGAGAATACTTTTGTTTCAAATATGGTGCTTTGAGCAGTACCCCATCATTTCTTATTCTGGAGATTAATGAGCTTACTTAAGTGGGTAACTGGCCTTAGAGAGGTGGGTGAGGGATTTCAATGTGATCTTCCCATGTTATGTCCTTACAGGATGGTGGTGAAGATTCTGCCTTCACAATGAAGAACAGCTACAGGGAATCTTAACCTCAGAATAAGAGACTTGATTCTCGGCTCTAGATTTTGGGGATGCTTTTTATCACAAGTTTACACATTGGTGCTCTTGTCTTACTATAACAGGGAATCTTAACCTCAGAATAAGAGACTTGATTCTCAGCTCTAGATTTTGGGGATGCTTTTTATCACAAGTTTACACATTGGTGCTCTTGTCTTACTATTTAAAAAATAGAGATATTTTGATTCTGTCACTCTCACCAGTGAAAATGGCATGAGTTGTTTGTGTACTTATTTTGTGTATATGTTTGCCCACAGCACCTTACTGCAGCCCGACCCACACCCTGAAGAACGGTGGTGTTTTAAACAGGACAGCAGGAGCAGCGGGAAGTAAAGTGCATTACTTTTGCAAGCCTGGATACCGCATGATTGGCCACAGCAATGCAACGTGTAGACGGAACCCAGTAGGCATGTACCAGTGGGACACCCTCCCACCACTCTGCCAGGGTAAGGATGTGCTTTTCATCCCCAACCTTGATTTCCATTTGTTGTTCTTATTTTATTCACACTCTGAAAATGAGTGAAGCAGTGACTAGAGATCAAAGGTAAGGGAAAGTTGAATGTTAGTTTATCACAGTAGAGATTAAGCTGCCCACTGACCATGCCCACCTTTCTGACATTTACACTGGGCTTGATTTAGCTCCATGGCCTAAATTCAGAGAAGGTTGAACATTCACGACATTCTGGGTAGAGTTATTCTAATACTTACTTGTACTTCATCATGAAGTAAAAAATGTGTCATCTGATTAAGATATTAATTTTTCTTGACGGTTGTATTAATTTAAAAAATCCATTACTGAAAAACTCATTTTTCTTATTTTAGTTTAAAATCTCATTCTTTTAGCCATAAGCTCTCTATTTGATTTTCTTTTGGTCATGTAAATCTAGAGCTTGTCAGAGTTTATTTCAATATTTCATGCCTTTTTTTTTTCACATTTTATCTGTCATATACATAAAAACCAAGTTTTCAAATAAGGCATTTTAATTTTAGTTGAAGGCTTTGAAGTCATAAAATTTTCATAGTTTTGTCTTATCAAGGTTTATATTCATAATGAAATATATTAGTCTTTGAAAGCTAATTATGATTTATAGGGGAAACTCATATTGGCTTCCTTTTTTACTTTTTATTAGATATTAAATTTTCTGGTATTGCTCTATGAGACAGTAATAGATATTTATCACAGTTATTGTATGTGCCTTTAACCATAAGAAGTTGATCAGAAACTTAGCTTCTATTATTTATGGTTTACCTCTAATAATAATTTTTTAATGCAAAATAAACATGAAAATAGATCCAAGAATCTTGTCTCTTTAGGCATGGTAATTTCTTTTTCTTTAAAAGAAGACTATTTTTTCCTTTAGAAAAAGAAATATTTTTTGTTTGCTTTAAATGTTCTATGACTCTCCGTTTGTTTGAAGAGGGCCTGCCTTCAGCTCAGAGAGCACCTGTGGTCTGTGCCCCGTTGGCATAGGGAACAGAATGCCAGTGACAAGGTAATGACCCAAAGAGCAACCTGGACACAGAACAGGGATCAGAGGGGCCGGCCTCGCGGCTCACTCAGGAGAGTGCGGTGCTGGTAGCACTGAGGCTGCGGGTTCGGATCCTATATAGGAATGGCCGGTGTGCTCCCTCGCTGAACGTGGTACAGATGACACCATGCCGAGGGTTGCGATCCCCTTACCGGTCAGGAAGAAAAAAAGAAAGAAAAGAAAAAGAAAAGGGATCAGAGAAGGACTGGCAGGAGTTCCTGAAATCATGTCCTTCAGAGGCTGAGTCAAAATGGAGCCTCAATGGAATGGCTCTCAAGGTAAAAGCACAAAAACGTACTGAAAATGGACCTTCATGTGATGACAGGAACACCTGGGAGGTGATATTGAGGCATGTTCCTCTTTCTTTCTGATACAAGAATTCTGAAAATTGTTAACAAGGTGGAGACATGGCCTGCTCTTTCAGTGAATGGTTGAGAAGAAGTAAAAGGTTGTCAAGTGTGTGGTTTGTTGAGAAGTCTGACCTACCTCTGTTCCCTCCCCAAGAACTATTTAAGACTGAGTTAAAGGACTCAGAAATAGAAATGGTGAACCGAAAACCAGATCCTTCTGAAATCTTTGCAGTTTGGGCTGAGGAATTTTAGTGAACATGATCAGCGCATCTCTACTTTTCATTGAACATCATCCAGAAGCAATGGCTTTCTGGATGTGGGATATTAGAACCACATAGCATGTTGCGGAAGGGACATTAGAGTATCCTTCTTCAGATTTCTTCTTGGAAATAAATGAACTATGTAATTTTGCTCTCAAATTGTAAAATCTTTTAGAAGTATCATTTTCCTAAAACAGACCCACAATTTTTACACGTTCTGTTAACAGTTCTGATATCCAGAGAGTCAATATGATCTTGTTCTTTCTAGAAAAACTTTGTCCTTTAAAATCTGGAGAGACCTTAAAAATAATCTAGCTTAACTTACTTATTTTTATATATTTGAAACTGAAGCACATAGCTGGCAATTCATAATCGTATGCTTTGAAATCAAAGATTCGGTGACCTCTTTCTTTAAAATGTTTGGAGCTCTATGTAAGAAAAATAATTGGCAACATCAGCTAGATGGATCAAGTATCACACTAGTCCCACTCAAATCAGCACAGAAGTCTTTCATGATTTTATTTTTCCCACAGATTTCACGTTTATGTTAGATATAAAACTAGGAGATGAGAATTGCCAGGCAGCACGTTTATAGGCATAAAGGTAGAAGTTTTTACCTTGGAACCTATACACGTGAAACACACTATCCAAAAAATTAAAGTAGGTGCAGGGGCCATGTTTATGGAAAGGTCATATTTGGTACAATTTCTAGACATATTTGTTTTTATATACCTTCTTATATGGGTGAAGTGGTATTAATTGTGTGTCCATGTTTGTTGATTAGGGTTGTAGTAGTAGTTCTAAAATCAATTCAAATATTAAGGAAAATATGTCCATTTTCACTTCAGTTCAGACTTATCTCTGGGTTAGGCACTGCAGGTACCAAGATGAGTAAGACACATTCCCAGGCCTCAAGTCTCTGATAGTCTTGTGGGAGAGAGACTTACAAACCAGTAACTACAGTTTAATATGATAGTAAGCATGCGTAGACAGCCATTGAATAAAAGGAGTGCAGGAGGCCAGGATGTTTTCCCCATAATGGAATATTTGAGCTGGAATTTGAAGGCAACGTAGTGATGGAAGATGAGATGGTGAAGTGGGTGGGAGCAGGTGGTGGAAGACTTCAACTGCAAGTTTACCTGGCTTTCACTTTCTGCATTGAATAAAAGGAGTGCAGGAGGCCAGGATGTTTTCCCCATAATGGAATATTTGAGCTGGAATTTGAAGGCAATGTAGTGATGGAAGATGAGATGGCGAAGTGGGTGGGAGCAGGTGGTGGAAGACTTCAACTGCAAGTTTACCTGGCTTTCACTTTCTGTCTTGTGTCTGATGTGAATTTGTGAGAGAGCAACAGAGATTCGATTTCTGCATTTTAGAAAGATAGATTTTTTAGTGGCACGGTGGATGATTGGAATACAGGGGCATTTAGAGACTATAGAAATGTGTGTTTCAGTGATAGGACGACCTCGATAAATACAGTGAAAATAGGTTTTGCAAGAAAATGCGTACTGAAAATCTTTAGGAAATAGAGTCAACCTTTGTGATGGTATGTAAAATGTTAGGGAGAGAGAAATCTTGGATGACATACTGTTTCTTGTTTTGATTGAGGGGAGAATTTGCTACCACTTACCGCATATGAACCAGTGAGAAAAGGAGGTTTAATGAGATTGCTTTTCCCATGCTGTGCTCCACATACCTGCAGGCAAGCTGTTCTCAACAGAGAGTTATCAGTGAGGAGGCAATTTCAAATGAGTTTAAGGTACTGGATGCATCACTACTTGTTTTTCACGAGATATTTGATTTTGTAAATTCCATAAGGATCAATCAAATCAATTAAATGGAAATAATTTAAAAAATAGTAGTGCTTCAATACATTTGAAACCAGACAGTTCTATCACAATATAAATAATATCTGAGACTCTTTGACAGCAAATCATATATGGTCAAAAGCAGCTATAAATCCTATATTCAATCATATAGAAGGTCTTTGAGATAGTATGGAATTTAATTACTGATACAAATGATGAAATATTTTAAAACTTTCACCAAAGTTGAAGGTCATCGTAGTTATTCTAATTATCTTCACTTGAAAATAGGGGACTTGAAAATTTTTTTAAAAAAATTATTAAATAAATAAAAGACAAATATCTCTTTGTGGCATTGAAAGCTTACACTCTGTATTGATAGATTTAATATTTGAATTATCCTGGAGTTCATCTTATAATTTTTCCTTAATGATATGAGTAGCAATCCGTTTGTTCTTATATAAGAATAAATATATAAGAATAAATACAGTTTATACATTTTCTAACTGCATTAGGACATTAGTCTTTCTCTTCTAAAAAGTTGTCTAGAGGAATATTTTGAAATGTTTTCTAAAATGCAACACTTGCCTTTTAATAAGTGAGCAAGATAAAAACCTGGAGTATTGAGGTCGTTTCCTTTCAGGCCCCTCACTACTGATTGTATAAACTGTGTCTGCACTACTGTGCCCCTTAGACACTGAGCAAAACACCCTGTCACTTGTAGCCATTTACTAAATATTTTGAATTAGAAAGTCATTGATTTATGTATTTTTTTAAGATATACAGGAGAACATATATTTGAGAGTGATATTTTTCCGTTTAAAGATTATTTATCTTGTGCCCGAATCTGTTTAGTTCTCTTCTGTTTTCACTTCTTTGCCAGTGGCATTGTAGAAGCACAGAATTTTGTGAAAAAAAAAAAACATATATATATAGAATTTGGAGTCAGAGGATACTTTGTGAGGGCCAGGGCCCTCAAAATAGTCCCCTCATGGTCAGGGAGTCCCCGTCTCCCGAAACCTGTTTCCTGCCATGTAAAATGGGGACTTATCAGGAGGATCACAGGAATAATGTAGAATAAACCTTTAAATGTTACACTGTGGCTGGCATGATTAGGAGTGGAAGAGGATTGGTGAGACTCCTACTCCAGACTCACCCAGATTCGGTGGTTCAGAGTGGCAGAGCCCAGGTTATAGCTCCCACCAGTGCTTGTTCCAAGATACCCTGGTGTCTTGTAATCGGCCTCTGGATGAAGCAAATAGAGTTTCACAGCTTTTCATCTGTGAGTGAAAAGATGTAGTAGGCAAGATGTATTTTATTGGTTTCAGGAGAACTCCAGGTTGTTTGTCTCGCTTTGGTTGACCTTTTAAATTACTTCTCTCAAAAAATCTATATTGGTTTTCATCCTCCTTGATAAAGCCATGCATATCTTCTGTTCTTCAGGCTTCATTTCCTGCATGAAAGCAAGAAACTCTGTTAGGCAGCTGTTTTCATTATCAATA